GGCGGACACAGGAGCGTAGGGCGGCGCCCGCTGCCCTCAGCACGCGCCGGCCGGAGTCCACACCGCCTGCCGGGCGACCCCGCAGGCCTCGCAGCAGAGGCACCAGGTACCCGGCAGCGACTTCGCGCGCCGCCTCCGAGAGCGCGCCCGCGCCGCCGCTGCGCGCCGCCTCGTCTTCAAGTCGCTGCAGAAGAAAGCGCAACGTCTCTACGCGCTCCACCGACGCCTCCCCGCGGCACAGCGTCCCAAGCAGGAGCCGGGGGTCCCGGAGCTGCGAGAGCAGCGCTTCAGCGAGCACCCACTCCATTTGCCGCACGCGCGCCGCCGACACCCGCCGCTCGGGAAAGCGCCAGGCCCCGCGTGTGCGTGCGCATGCCCGCTGGGTAGGCGCGCGCCCGCATGGAGCGGCCCAGGAGCAGTGCTCTGAGCCTGGGGGCTGGGTCCAGCTCCTTCTATCCCCTGTCCCTACTGTATTTCAGAAAGAGCGTCTTTAAACATTCTCTAGCATCTACACTAACTCTAACTGCGTCGATTGCTAATTGCAGACTGGATGTCCGAAGTTGCTTGGCTCCAGGTAAATACAGAAGATTTATGTCACAATTACCTAGAAAAGGTACAGGCTGGCACCGCCTATATAGAGAATGGCACAGTGATTCTAAGATGGCTTCTGCACATCTGTATCAAAAGTAAATAACGAAAACCTAAAAGATTTAAAGGCCCTGTAAAGCACTATAGCTCTGGTAGGCATAGAGCTGAAAAGAACCTACCTATATGCACCTCATCTTCCCACCCTGACTCTCGCATACCATGTTTGTGCCACCACAGGCATCTCAAAAGTAGCCCACATGTCTGTATTTTCTGTATTTCTGACGGCACCGCTCCTAAATACAGAAGCAAAACATCACGTGAACCTACTGTTGCTTCCTGCCTCAGTCCCCTATAAATGGAATCCGTGCTGTGTATTTTCTTGCCATCTAAGAGAAAAGATCTCTCCCTTTCTGAACTGGCACCACACGATCATGAATAAGGTATAATTTAAAGTTATTTAAATTCAAGGTTATTTATTAAACTCATTTAATTTTTATATTTTGGAGTTTATAGAATTTAAAGCTAACATCTTGTGGTATTATATATGCAAGATTTACCCCCGTATTTCAGTCATTCATTTTTCCATGGACAGAATGCATGAATGGTGCTATTGTAAGCCCATGTAAAAAGTATCAGTAAATGATGTTTTAGTAAAAATTAGTATCCATGATATATTAACAAAAATGGGTAAAAGTCTTGAGCAAACACATAACAAGTGAAAATATGCAAATACCAGCATCTGAAAGGTGTTCAGTATCATTAGTGATTATATACCATTTCACACGTGTTAGAATGGCTAAAAATTAAAAAGATTGACACCATACAGCAAGAGCCAGGGATGTGGAACAACTGAAACTTCCATATATTATTGGTAAGTGTATAATGATGATAATGACTGTGGAAAACTCTTTCCAATAAAGTTAAAAGTTATCTATTTTATACCTGGGCATTTTCCTAAAGCAAATGAAGACTGCCAACAAAAATGCTTGTTTCAGAATGTTTATGGCAATATGAGCCATATAAACAAGGTTTCTAACATCTAAACATCAAATACAGAAGAATGAAGGAGCATACTGTGAGCTATTCAATAATAATAATTATTATTATTATTGCAAGTCAACAATAAAAGAAAGTGAATTACTAATCCATGCACCAACATAAGTAAATCTCAAAAGACATTACTTTGAACAAAAGAAGCCAGAGACATAAAATTAATATAATGCATGAGCCCATTTATATAAAATTCTGAGTTAGACCAAAGTAATCTGTTGGCTGAAATGAGAACAGTGGTTGCCCATAGAAAATAGAAATTCACTAAATCAGGGTGCAAGGGAACTTTCTGAAATAATGGAAATAAGTTATGATGATGAGAGTGTTGGTTCACCAGGTTTCATCACCAGGTTTCAAAACTCCTTGAATTAAATAAAGGCTTAAGATTCATGCATTTCACTATGTAAACTTTACCTCACTTTCTAAAAGTAACTTCTTTAAAAGTACTCAATTGGCTTATGTGTTCAATCCCTGTTACCTACAAATAAAGCTCAACTACAGAGAATGTAGTGAAGCTTCTCAGATGCTGGTGAAAGTCAACCAGCATCATAAACTAAGGCCCCCACTCTGCTCTTTGGCCCAGCCCCATGGCACTCTGTTCTCACATGTCTGAACTAATGATTTTTCTCTGTCTGGATATTTTTCCACAACCACCACTTTCTTGGCTCACCAAAGTGGACAGTGTTCTCCTGACTGCAAAGGTATCTTTTTTTTTTTTGCCTTTATTAACTTGTCTCTATTGAGGCCCTCATCTTCTTTAAAAAAAATTTATTTATTTATGCATAGAAGAACTGGAGTACAGACCAGGTTTGTGGGAGGAAGGATGAAAGGACTCACCAGAGAGAGAGAGTCGATGTACTGAACTGCACTGCTGTGGGAAGCAGTGGACAGGACAGAATCAAACTCATGCTGCAGTGGCTGCTTATAGCTTCATTGTGCTATTTATGTTAGTGATGAAAAAAATCTGTATCCAGTCCAAATCTTTTTCCTGAGCTCCAGATCTATATATCCAGTCACCTACCAGAAGTCTCCACTTGAATATCACATAAATGGATCATTATAGTCTCCACTTTTTTTTTTAAAGATTTATTTATTTATTCATACAGAACTGGGGTACAGGCCAGAGATGCAGAGGGTGAGAGGATTCACCTGAGACAGAGTGGGGTGCAGAACAGGCAGATCGACGAAGTACACTGCTGAGAGGAGCAGCGGGCTGGTCAGGAGAGGTCTGCCTCGCCATGTGGTCTCCTCCGGGGGCAGGTGGGAATCGAACTCATGCGGAAGTGGCTTAAGCTTCTTTGTGCAGTGCTTTAACCCGCTGCACCACCAGGGAGGGCCTCAGTCTCCACTTTTATGACTCAAACCTCATTATCTTCATGCGCCCATCTCTAACCCCCATCACTGATACTCCATGCCAATGTGCTTCTTTCCAGGTATTTCCTACTTATAAGAATGGCCCAGTTGAAACATCTGAGGGCCAAAAGACTCCCTATTCTCTTCCTTGATACAATCACTAGTCATGAAACTTTCCATTTTTGTTAATATATGAGGAATACTAATATTTACTAAGTCATTGTTTGGTGTGGCAAAATGATATTTACTGATACTTTTTACATGGGCTTCCTTCATGTGTTCTGTCCATGTAACCTGTAACTGATTTGTTTAGCAGCTGACATTTCTCTAGACAGAAGGTGGTGCTATTGTCAACGCAGTGTTTTTTCCTTCTTTCAACTTTACCTTCATAGATATAAAGTGGAAGGCAAGTAGAGCATGAAGGGAAATAGCAGTTACATACCAGATTTCAGCTGGAATACTTAGGTTTACTTCTGGTGGTTTAAGAAAAGAAGGAAGGTGCTTGGTAAGCTCCATCTGAGATTTTGCCTTGCCCATTAATGTCCTCTGAGGACCTTCAAAGAGGACACTGCTATAGCACTACCAGTAACAGTTTAGGTTAAGGGCACCATTTAGAAAACACAAATTCTCTCTGGGGATCCATGGCCAGTATACCATTATTTATTAGCACAACATCTCTCCTCCCTCCTCCCTTCCTCACTAAACCTGATTTTGTTCAGGAAGGTGTTATGCTAACCCCTAGGGCAGTGGCTCACACTGAGGCAGCCGACAGAGACAGAACAATCCTGTTCTCTGCTCCCCTAACCTCCTTACCATAAGCAAATGAAGTGACTTTATGTCCCAATTCTGCACAATGAGAGTGACATGGAAGTTTGTTAAGGATAGGTTTGGGAAAGCTTTTTATTCTGATTACATTGGCGGGACGTCACTACCACAACCCTCCTCCCTTCCTGGTGAACAAGTGGGCTCATGTGACCTGCCACCATCTCAACCACCAAACAAGCTCAAAATGACAAACTGTGCTTTAAATGTGACTAAGAAGAAGACAGAAAGAACCTGAGTTCTTTGGAGTTACTCAACCAATGATAACAAGTACCTACTTCTGAAGTTGCTGTTCTACGAGAATAGTAACGTGTCTGTTTAAGCTTCTCTAGCTGAGTTTCTGTACTTACAGCTAAGTATTCCTATCTGCTACAGAACTCTAAATCACTTGTATACTATTATTTTTACTCAATTAGTTTTGAGCATCTCCCTTTTTCCAAGCGTAGGACCCTTTTTTAACTAATCACCATTTCTGCCTACAAACCCACATTCACTTGGTGGCTCTCAACCTGGCACTGAGCAGAGTCATCCCTGGGGGCACTGTGACCTCACGGATGCCTGGGTCTCCTCCCAGACCCACTGAACCTGAAACTGAATAAAGAGCACAAACATCTGTTACTGTTTTTTCAATCTCAATAAATTAGTTAAAAAGAGCTGTCTTTACTCATACTCATGCATTTCCACTGGTTATTCACAGTGAATTAGGAGAACGTGGGGATAAGTGATCTTTATGTACTTAGCCAATCACACCACTATAGACATGTTCTCACCTTCACTCAGGAAGGCCTTGTTCATCTGAAGATGCATAGAAATAAATTCTGTATTCTCTTTTTGAGAGATTCACTTGCCTAATGAGGGGGAAGGAGGGTGTGGGACCGTACCCAGGACAGTCTCCAAGTGTTATATTCCCACCTAGTACTGAGCACACAGTACAGCACGAGAGAGTCTCTCCTGAGGTCTCAATAAAAAACTACCAAATTTCCTACCAGTTTATTTCTTAAACGCTATTCAGCAACTTTTTATAAGAAAAAGAATCACTCTATATGTACATCACTATTCCACTAAGTGCAGAAAGAACCGCTGAAGCAGATGCCCTTGGGTGCAGCTTCTGTGTTCAGATCCCAGAGAGCTTGGCAGGCAGGGTTAAACCTGCTCTTCCAGGGTGTTTCTAAGGCAAAAATCAGAATTCTCTGGCTGTCTGCTGCTGTCAGAATCTCTCACTCTGCTGCTTCTGGCCCAGGAAAGAGATGCAATCTATTCTGGCACTAAGGATTCCTGTTAAGTGATGAATTGTGATTCCTTTGCAAGTGGTGTTGCAGGAAGAGGTCCAGCCCAGGGAGTTCTCCTGTGTGAGAGGCTGGAGGGGCTTTTAACTGCATTTGTAATAAAGAAGAAGGTAAAATCCATTACTGGCTGTCATTATTATGCTAGCCCACTGATAAGCAAGTGAACTCTCTAGAAACCTCTTCCAACCATGCTTCACCTGCTTCATGTAGCCAGACTTGGACAAGCCAGGCCAATCAAATTCTCACCAATAACAATAACTACCCAAGTAGTTTTTCTGCAGGGCTGGGAATTTCCTTTCCCTGCTGGGTAAGTAGTTGTCTTTAGAGCAGCAGGTTTGGCAAAGGGATTTAAGGTTTTGTACCTGGGCTGAGAGCCAGAGGTCATTAGTAGATATTGCTGATTCCTCATTGGGGGCTTTTAAGGTGAACTGTTGAGACAGTTTTCAGAGTCTTGTGGGGAGATATTGTGTGGCTTATTTGTATTGCCCTCCTTAGCATCAAAGTAATTTATACCTGACAAAGCATATGCTTTTGGCATCCCTCACCTTTGCAAGGCAATTCTCAGGCTTGTTCCTAGCTCTTTCCCAGTGACATCTATATTTCTGTTCTCTACTGGGCTCTCTTGCTTTGTAAATGTGTACATCTGAAATGAATGTGTCAACTTAGAGGGTGTTTTTTGTTTTTTTTTTTAAATATTTATTTATTTGTACATACAGAACTGGGGTACAGGCCAGAGGCTCAGGGGTGGCGAGCGGCTTCACCAGAGACAGTGTGGGGAGCAGAACAGGCAGATCAACGAAGTACACTGCTGAGGGGAACAGCGGGCGGGTCAGGAGAGGTCTGCCACGCCATGTGGTCACCTCCGGGGCAGGTGGGAATCGAACTCATGCAGAAGTGGCTTTAGCTTCTTAGTGCTGTGCTTTAACCCGCTGCACCACCAGGGAGGGCCTAGAGGGTGTTTTTGATTGAGATTAATACTAGGTAGGTGAACTTCAAGTAAAGCAGTTGCC